AAAGGTATTGTGTCCAACTACAACTAAAAGATAAATATTAAAAAAAAAAAAAACTTATCCAGGAGATAGTTCCCCAATTTGGCCTCCCAATAGCCATGGGGTCCGATATAGCCCAGCTTTCACAGCTAAGGTAACTCAAAATTTATCTAAAGTCTTTAAAATTAAATGGGACTTATATTATATACAGGCCTTCAAGTTTAAGACAATAAAAAAAGATAAATAAAACTGTAAAAGACACCCTTACTAATTATACTTGGAGACTGGCATAAACTGGACGGGCCTCCTTTTGCCCTTTATTCTAAGACCACCGCCACTGGTTCCCAGACTAAAAGATTAAAAAAAATAATAATAAAATAAATAAATAAATAAAAACTAGCTGAAATAGGTAACCCCTCACTTCTTAAGTCCTTACAGGCTCTCCAGCAAGCCTCCCAACAGACTCAGGCTTTAACTAAGGCAGTCCGGCAGCTGGTAACGGGAGAGAGAAACTTTTGCCCACTCCTTCCAGCCCGGAAAGCTGATATGGGTAAAATGCCATCACCTGTCTACCTTGAAGTCTTGCTGGCACGGACCCTTTCCAGTCATCTTGACCACCCCAACTGCTATGAAAGTCGCCAGAAAACAACATTGGATTCATCACTCCAGATCAAAAAGGCAGCTTCAACAGAAGGCACATCCCAGGACAACTAACGATGGACAGTACAACCCATGGACAGTACCTTAAAGCTAAGATTTATAAGGTCGTCTTTGGAGGACTCTTGACTTTTACTTTCTGTTCTGTTTCACTTTCAGACATGCACAGTGCACACAGCTCTCCTTGGAAACTCTTGAGGCCAGAAAAAGACAGGAAGCCTGCTTCTAAAGATTAAACTGCTGGTCCTTAAAAGCATATGATTATGGCTTGGTAAACTTAGTTCAAACTAAAACTTAGATAAATCAACGATTTGATTTAGTCCCATAAAACCAATGGGGAATGTTGTGGTGTGAACTGATAAATACAATCAATAAGAGTGTAGGTTATAGGTTATAGATTATAGATACAAGATTTTGTGAGGGGGCTGGGGATGTGGCTCAAGCCGTAGTGCGCTTGCCTGGCATGCGTGAGGACCAGGTTCGATCCTCAGCACCACATACAGACAAAGATGTTGTGTCCGCCGAAAACTAAAAAGTAAATATTAAAATTCTCTCTCTCTCTCTTTAAAAAAAAAAAGATTTTGTGAGATAAGACAATTATAAAGCAAAAACTGTCATAGACAGGCCTAAGACTCCATTTTGCTGCCTTTTATAAAAATACTATTACAAGAGCTGTTTCTGGGCCGGGGATGTGGCTCAAGCGATAGTGCGCTCGCCTGGCATGTGTGCGGCCCGGGTTCGATCCTCAGCACCACATACGAACAAAGATGTTGTGTCTGCCAAGAACTAAAAAATAAATATTAAAATTCTCTCTCTCAAAAAAAAAAATTAAGAGTTGCTGTTTTAAAAAATAAAAAAAGCTGTTTCTGAGAAACTGAAATGAAAGCTGTTTTCTTCTAAAAATTGTCTTTCTGTACTTTTTACCCCACAAATTGTACCCTACTCAGGATGCAGTGGTGGTCATGATGGGCTACATCCTGGGTGTGAGTGCCCTCGTGGGTCTACATGACTGTGAAGTAGATTCTCACCCCACTGACCCCCTGCCCAAATTCAGGATACGACTGTCACCTGCTTGAACCCAGGACCGTGGTCAACTGAACTGCAAAGCTAATGCTTTTGTTTTGTTTTGTTTTGCTTCTGTTTATTGATTGCTTGCTGCCTGGAAAATTTCAGTCCTGCCTAGAGCCCACAGATCCCACTTATTAATGTTTTAATTTCTATGATTGGCTAGCTTACATAATGATAAGCAAGTCACTGAGGTGTGGTTTTTGTGCTTATATTCTCTTTGGATGGACCAGGAAGCTGCTGTCTTCCCACAGAGCTTGAGTCTCTGCGGTGGGTGACAGTCCCTGGCCAGGTAAATTAAGCTCTCTTTTGATTTGAAATTCAGACTTAGAGTGCTTTCTGAGGCATCTCCCCATAACACTAGGACCAGGGGAACCAAACCCAGGCAAGGGAAGCAGAAAGGAGTCACATCAGGAAAAGGCCGAGGAGAGCTTTTGGTAAAAGGTGAAAAAAATTTTTAAAGATATCCTGCAAAGTGTGCAGAAGTGGTGTCAAGAAAAGCTGGCCTCTGGCAGCTCCATGGAGTTCCTGTGGAAGGCTCTCCGAGGACGTCTGCAGCTATCTGACTGTGAAGCTGTGATTCTAAGGAGGCCAGATCTACCCAGTAGCACAGGCTAGACACCCTTACTTGTTTTACTGGCCCTTGATTCAGTCCCTCAGCCACCTTGTGCCCTGCTGTGTAATAAAAGTTGCTTTAACAGAACCAAGTCCATCTTGGTCCATCTTGAACCTGAGACATTGTATTCATCTTTCCTCCCTCCCTCCCTCAAGCAATCCTCCTGCCTCAGCCTGTAAGAGTGCTGGGACCCCAGCCTTGGCCTATCTGTTCTTTACTTCCATGGAAACTAATGAACCGTAACCCAAGATCAAAGTGTCTGGGGGTGGGCAGTGCGGGACACCTACTTGATCCAGGATGGAGCAGAGGATGGAGGGGGCAGTGGCAAGATTTCCAAGCTGAGAGGGATAGCCTTTCTTTCCATTTCTGAGAGACCCTGCTTGCCCCCACCCCTGCTCAGCATCTCCTGCAGGTGTGTGGGAAGTGGCCAGGGTCTTCCTTGACCATGTTGGCACTGCCCATTCCTTCCTGGGAAGAAGGCAGCCTAATCACTGGGCCTCCCCGCAGAGGTGATCCAATCCTTAACCTCTTGGATTTTCATCTTATGTTCCTTTAATCTGAAGGGCCTTGCCTCACCTGAGTCCCACTCTTCCCGGACCCCCCAGCTCCAAGGTGCTACCCACCACCAGCCTTTCCTTATTTGTGGCCCTGACCTTGAGTCTCCTGGCTGCCCTGTTCAAGGTCTTCTTTAATACCCTTACCTGCACTTCTCAAGTGACCCCTTGCCAAAACCCTACTTACCACTCCTTCACATACCCCACTTGGCTTCTTAACTACAAAATTCTCCCACAGGTCACAGGGTCTTTTGTGGGTCCCATTACCACACTGAGGGCACACTCCCAGATAAGTATAATGGCCCCTGAGCTGGTCTCTCTAACTTTGTCTCTTCCAAACCACTTCCAGTGGTTAACACCCAAATTATTTTATTGGTAGAAATGAAATCACCCCGTCTATAAATTTCATCATTACAGTGGTGCACACCTGTAATGCCAGCTACTCAGATTGCAAATTCGAGGCCAGTGTGAGCAACTTAGTGAGAACCTGTCTCAGAATGAAAAGGGTTGGGGAAATACATTGTCCAGTGTCCTGGCATGCAGGAAGCCCTGGATCTACCTCCAGTACCACAAAAACAAGGTGACTCATCCTGTTTTCCCATCACCTTACTCTGGCCTGTCAATGTCAGGCCCCTTCCCATCTCTTATCTTGAACAAATATGGTCTAGCCAAGTGCTCCCTACCCAGGGCCTTTGCACATGCTGCCCCCGCTGCCTGGAACATTGACATCCTTGTCCTTTTGAAACTGCCTCCCATCATATCTCAGCACATTGCCTGACTTATGGATGGTGCTCAATAATTAAAGTTTTAAATCCTGTGGGCTTCTCTAATTCCTAACCCTCAGTCTCTTAGTTGACGAAATGAATTTGTTCTGTGACATCTGCTGAATTTGTTCTGTGACATCTTCCTCCCACCCCCAAAGGGCTGGTCTGTCCCTTGGCTCAGAGCTCTTCTGCCAACTGTACCCAAAATCATCTTAGCTCTTGGGGTACAGCTTAGTGGTACACTGTGTGCCTAGCATGTGCAAGGCCCCAGGTTTGACCTCCAGCACCACAAAAAATTAAAATAAAAATCATCTGTATTTTCCCCCCGATTTGGTCCCTTGAGCCACTAGTGAAAGCAGTTCCTCTCAGTTACCCAGAAGAAGTTCTGTGAGATGGGGGCTGCAGGGCAAAAATAACTAGGTTATGATATCGATATCGCTGCTGTCCTTGAAAAGCAGCCAACTAGAGAAACAGAAAGGGTGTGTGCTCTGAGGCTGGAGGGGTTCCACTGGCATTTTTAACAGAAATCAGCTGACTTCCTAGCAGCAGGCTGCCTAATGGGCAGCACCAGGGCACAGGGCCAGTGTGCTGGATTAAAAGGATTGTGGGCGGCTAGTGGGCCCCCAATGGACAGCCTGCTTGGCCCGCAGGCAAATTTAGTTCACCTGCTTGCATTTTCAGTGTGTAGTATTATCAAGGTTACAGAACAATAATCCAGAAACTGGGATTTAACACTTTATTCTATTATGATGAATTTAGAGATGCCACACATGGCTTGGGACTGCTGTATTGGACAGCACAGGTTTGGGGGTAAACTCTGGAAGAGAATAAGTTCCAGGGTGAGATTCCTGGACCTTCCAACAAGCTGCCTGTCACAGATGGCAGTTTGGTGGATGTAAATAGAAGGATTGGACCTAGTGGGGCAGGGATGGGGTTAGAAAAAAGAAATAAAAGAGAACCACTTTCAAGAAGGCCGCTTTACTTTGTGTATATGAAATACACTTTTGAGGCCAGGAAAAGAAGCCACAGGAGGGACCAGGTGTGGTGGGCCATGCTGTAATCCTGTTGGCTGGGGAGACTGAGGTGGAGGCTGGCCTCAGCAACTTAGATCCTGATGGGGGTGTAGCTCAGTGGTAAAGCACCTCTGGGTTCAATCCCCAGGTCAACAACAACAAAAAAGCCACAGGCGGGGAGAACAAACACTAAGGAGTCGGAGGAAGTGGGCGTCATGGGGACGTAGAGGAAGGCCTCGGGTGCTATCCATCCACAGGTGCCCGAGTAGTGCTGCTGGAACCTTGGTGATGCTAGTACAGCGTCTCCCGGGCGTGGGTTCGCAGGTGGCGCAGCAGGTGGGAGTTGCGGCTGAAGCCACGACCACACTGCACGCAGGAGTAAGGCCTGGCACCCGTGTGCACCAGCAGGTGTCGCAGCAGGTTGCAGCTGCGGCTGAAGCTCTTACCACACTCCGGGCACTCCTGCGGGGTTTCCACCTCCTGCACCACTCCCGTGTGTGTGACCAGGTGGCGCTGCAGATGGGCATTGCGCCGGAAGCTGCGGCCACAGGTCGGGCAGCTGTAGGGCCGCTCCCCAGTGTGGCTGCGGCGGTGACGGGCCAGATTGGAGCTATTACGGAAGCGGTGGCCGCACGTGTCGCAGGCATGGGGCTTCTCCCCAGTGTGGATGCGCTGGTGGCGCGCCAGGTGGGCATTCTGGCTAAAGCCCTCGCCACACTCGCTGCAGCGGCAGGGCTTCTCGCCCGTGTGGCTGCGCAGATGGCGGGCCAGATCCTGAGTCTGGCTGAAGCTCTTGCCACACTGGGCACAGCGGTGGGGCCGTGGGCCACCGTGTGTCAACAGGTGGCGGGCAAGGCCGGCACGTCGGACAAAGCGCTTCCCGCACTGTGGGCAGGCGTGGGGCTTCTCACCTGTGTGCACTTGCTGGTGGCTGACCAGCTGGGAACTTTGGGTGAAACTGCGACCGCAGACCTGGCATGAGAAAGGCTTCTCACCCGTGTGCACGCGCCGGTGGGTCACCAGGTGCTCACTGCGCCGGAAGGCCTTGCCGCAGTCGCTGCAAACGTAGGGCCTCTTCTCGCGGCTCTGGCTCTGACTACCTGAGTCTTCAGAGCCCTTGTGGTCCTTGCCCTTGGCATGGATCCGCAGGTGACGCTTTAGGCTGGAGCGGCGCTGAAAGGTCTGCACACAGTGGGGGCACTGGAAGACGGTCGCCTCTCGCCCTTCTGTCTTGGCCTCTGGGACACACGTGGGCTTTTGGTCCTGGGTGTGCGCCAGCAGGTGCTGCACGAGGTTGGAACGACGCTGGAAACCCTGGCCACACTCAGCACACAGGAAGGCAGGCTCAGAAGAGTGCGTGAGCAGGTGCTTGGCCAGGTGGGAGCTCTGGCGGAAGCGGTGGTTGCAGAGGTGGCAGGCATGCGGCCGTTCGTCAGTGTGCGTGCGCATGTGCAGCTTGAGGATGGAGCTGCGGCCAAAGCTCTTTCCGCAGCAGAGGCACTGGAAGGAACGCGAAACCGGGTGAGAACGCACCTGGTGTGCCTTCAGGCGGGACAACTGCCGGAAGCTCGCGCCACACTCGGCGCATATGAAGTGCAATTCTTCCTCTGATCTAGGGTTGTCCTCGCCCACTGCGACCTCCAAAACTTCAGTGCTGCCAGGAGGGGACCCTCCTCCACCAGTACTGCTGGTCTCAGGGCCTGGCCCCAGCGTCTGGGTAAGAGGTTCTCCAGCCACCCCCAAGCTGTCTGCTTGTGACTCTGCTGAGATGGTAGAGGACCAGGCAGCCCCATTGGGCTCTTCTGGTTTAAATTCCTCCTTGTCCGGGGTTCTGCTCCCAAATCCTGGGGAAGAAGCAAACAGGAATATCAGACCTCTTCGGAGGGGCTCCTGGGCATCACCAGAACCTGATGGGCCTAGAAGAGAGAAGAAACCCAGGATCCTGCAAAGCTGGTGGGTAGGTGAGGCTGGGGGACAAATGAGAAATGTGCATTTTTTCTACCACCTGTTTTTAAAATTTTCAGTAAAATATAGATGACATAAAATTTGCCACAATAGCCTTTAAAAGTGTATATTTTGTGTGTATCAAATACATTCACAATGTTGATCAACCATCATTACTATCTCCAAATAGAAACCTCACACCTATTAGCAATCATTCCCTTGGCCACCTATTTTATCTTTCTCATCTAAACTGTTCATTTTTTTTCCTAATGGTGCATTATACTTATACCTGATAGTGGGATTCATTGTTACCTATATTTGTACATGCCCATAACATAATTTGATCAATTTTTTAAAAATATTTTTTTAGTTGTAGTAGACACAATACCTTTATTTTATTTTTTTACTTATATGTGGTGCTGAGGATCGAACCCAGGGCCTCACACGTGGTAGGCGAGAGCACTCTACTGCTGAGCCACCACCTCAGCCCTTGATCAATTTTTTTGACCACCTATTTTATTTTTTATATTGACTACCCATTTTAAAAGCTAAAAATTAATGGGTTAGTGGTTAGACCAGACAAGAAGCTGTTTAAAAAAGACCAGGCTTGGTGGCACACACCTATAATCCCAGATCTTGGGAGGTTGAAGCAGGGGGGTCACAAGTTTGAGACCCATAACTTAGGACCTGCCTCCATTTTTTGAAAAAGGAGGAGGGAAAAAAGATATCACCAAAAAAAAAAGACAAAAATTCAGGCAGGGTCTGGAACTGCAAACAAAAAGACTGGTGGTCATGACCTTGGAGAAGGGCTGCTTACCCACAAGATGCTTGGGCAAGGCCTTCTTCACTGGGACATCCTCGAAGGTCAGGGATTCCTATAACAAGAGTAGATAATCCTGTGATTGAGGAACAGGATTCTGGGACCTAAATGGAAGGAAGCACCTTCTAGAATTAAGCTAAGGAAGACCTAGGGCAGAGGGGACCAGCTCAGCTCACCAGCACAGCTGCCAGCTCCTGATCTTGGGCATTCTCCTCCTGACACAAGGCACCCTGTGGGACTGACAGCATCAGGACAGGAAGAAAGAGCTGTCAGGAGGCAGCACTGTACCCCAGGTCTCTCAGGGCATGCCCCCCCATTGCCCACACCCCATGAAGCCATTCCAGCTCTCTCCCACCAGGGCCCTCCCATCCCCACCCACACATCCAGTCCACTTTCCAGGGCACCGGCTCCTCACTGTTATCTTGCAGGGGCTGGAGTGTCCTCTGGGGCCCCGGGCTCAGTGACTGGCTTGAATCTAGAGCAGGTTTCCACTCTCCAGGCTCAGCTGGACCAGGAGGCTCTGGCTGGAATGGGGGCAATTCATTTGATGGACACAGAGCTGGAGGTTCTTCTGAGGGCAGTTCCTTTTTGGGGCTGTGGCTGGGGACCTGAGAAGGGCCCCCCTGTTCCTCCAAGTTGGTGGCTGCACGGGATCCATTCTTGCCAGTATTGAAACTAAAATCCTGTTGGAAATATGTCCATGTTAGGAGGCAAACAGGAGCAGTCTAAGGTCTACTGCTTCTACAGGGATGGGATGGAGGAAGAGATGGGATGGGGAGTCTCACAGATAGGAGGGTAAGAGTTGGTGGAAAGTGAAGATTCCTGTTTCTTCCAGGGGCCATCAGTCCCTGTCCACACCCCTGCTGCACAGCCTGCTGCTTCCCACCCCATCTCACCAGTGGCCCCACGTGGCTGACATCCCTGGGCACGCCCTCCAGCAGTAGCACCACCTCCTCTCCATCCCTGAGCTGCTGACCCTGCAGGCGGCCCAGCAGGTGTGGGGGCAGCACACTCAGGAACTGCTCCAACACCAACAGCTCAAGGATCTGTTTCTTGGTGTGAAGAGATGGCTGCAGCCAATGGTGGCAGAGTTCCCGTAGCCGGCTCAGGGACCCACGTGGCCCCATGTCTTCCTGATACTGGAAGCATCTGAAGAGCTGGTGGGCCACCTCAGGCCGAGGCCTGGCCACTGGCCTCCTTGTAGCCTCCTGGCCAGTGGCCTCCTCCTCCTCCAGCTTGACAGCTCCGAGCTGCTCTTGCTCCTGTGGAGTCGGGACTGGCTCCGCAAGCATCCTTCACTGTGGGGGATGCCTCTTGCAGCTGGGCCCACTCCAGGTCCCTTTCCTCAGTTCCTCCCACACCTGTGGAGCTGAAGACCCTGGGTTAGGATCTGCTGCAGGGAAGCTGACTCCACCTGGTCATTAGTGTTAAGAGATGCTGGGGTGTGGCCTCCTCAGAGAAATCCTTTTTCCTAATGGTCTGGGTCTCTGCTTAAGCAATGCAGAAAGGACAGAAAAATTGGACAGGTCATCCTACAGCATCTAAGACCTCCTGTCACTCTGCCCCAGCGATTAAAGTGAACATCTCCCAGAGAGGAACAACCTGACCTTCCCTCCTCCTGATGCAACCCCTGAGTACACAAAGCACTATGGAGGACAGACCCTGGCTACAAATGTTTCATTCAATCCAGTCTGGTGTGGAGAGCCAACTTCCAGTTCACAGAGCAATGCCGAGAATAAAGAACAAGTCAACCATCACTCGAAGGAATAATTCAACAAATCAGAATATGAAAAATAACTGCTATGGGGGGGTTGTTCTACAGGAGACTAAATGGTGGTTAAAATCAAGTGGGCAGACCTTGACTGGATCCTGATTAATTCACTTTTCAAAGGCTCTCAAGGACAGTTTGGGATCAGTTGAGGGAATCTGAATATGGATGGGATACTAGATTAATGACTCCATTATAGCCTTTTGAATGTAGGCAATGTCTACCAGTAAGAGGATGCTATTGAGTTTTATAGGGTTTGGACTTGAAGAGGACTAAGGGATCACCCCTGTTCATGGTTGGTAAGATATGTAGAAGAGGTTCACTGACCTGCTCTTTCAACTTCTCTGAATGTTTGAGAACTTTCAAAGTAAAAAGCTGAAGGGAAAGTTCATGCCTGCACTATCTCCTAGACCAGGCACGCGGGCCCTCACTTTATGTCTCTGGAGATATCTCATAGGGGTCAAGGACAATGGCACTCAGCTGACCAGTGCTGGGCTGACCAGGGTGGAGCTCTCACCTTGTTTTCCAGTCTCTCTCCTCCCACAGTTCCAGTCCCAGAGGTTGAGGCCAACATGAGCTGGAGGAGGGTGGAGCAGAGGGAGAGTACCCAGGGCAGCGCAAAGCATAACTGGAGTCCAGCAGGGGCCAGTTGTAAGTGCATGTCACAGCAAAGAGACTGGGGACAGATCAGGGCAGCCAGCGGATGTGGGCTCCAGATGGGAGTGTAATTTGGAGAGTTTTGTGACAGGTGAGTCCTCAAGGCAGAAAGATAATGTTACCTGGTCTGAGAGCCCCTGGTGGATGTACTTTGGGAGTCAGGGCATGGGTATGTGAGGCAATGATTTTACTTTCTTTTCTCCCCTCCCCAATTCTGGATTTTCCTTGATTCATTCCATCACCCCTTTTGGGGTTCCCACTCTAACCCAGAGGCTGGCTAGCCATGGAAAGTATTCCTAGTTGGCCACCAGGGGGCACTGGTTCTGCAGAACCAACCACCTCTCTTGTCTTCCTAGCCCAACCCACGGGGTGGCTACCCCCTTGTTTTGGGTAGCCCAAAACTATCATGGGGAACTGCCCCAAATTCAGCCCCAAGCACTAGGGACTCAATTTGGTCTTGTTCAATTTGTTCTTCAGTATTCCAGGAGGCTTAAACTTTTCTGAACCCATTGTACTCTTCTATCCTCCCACTCCTCAGGGGGCACCCCAAGCAGGGAAAAGGTAAGAGCACCTTGAGCATTACTTCCCCAAAAGCACAGAGCAGTGTCCCACATGGGGTAGTGGCACATGGCAGGCACACTTCAGTGCTAGCTGTTATGTTCTCTTGTTACTGGTTATAGCACCAATGATCATGGCCATCAGTGTCGGACAGTAGCATCTTTGCCCTTTTTACAGCTAAAGACACTAAAACATTTGCCCTAGTGGGTAACCCAGTTTTGGTAATGTTAGCCTAATTTTGAGTTTGGACAGTTTGTTGAGTCTCCTTATAGGAGACAGGGTTTTCTAAATCTCCTTCTTAATTGGGGTGACTAGAGTGGGGAGTGGGATGGTAAAGAATACAGGAAACCTGTGCTTCAAGCCTGGCGTTAGGGAAACTGATTCAGGCCTTGTTTCTTGCTTCTGCTCCTGATCTGCAGCCCCCCTTTTCTCCCTCCCACAACCTGGGCTCTTTCCTAGACTTCTGTGTTTTAATCTCTGGAGGCTTTTTCTGTTGCAGCCACTCCTTATCCCCCATTGGTGCCTCCCTTCTGGGATCCCACAACACAGTCCCTGTGGGTCACTGTGCTGCAATCCATCATGGTTGAGTGTATTTTGTCCCCTGGCTTACAAATAGGCACTGTATCTAGTTCAGTCTGTATTCATCCAGCATTAAAAATGCTGATGACTTCAAATGACTGTTAGTAGTTGTAACAAAATGGAAATCTTACCTTGATGTCCTAAGAATTGGTCAGGGGCAGTGGTGCACACCTGTAATCCCAACAACTCCGGAGGCTGAGGCACAAAGAACACAACTTCAAGGCCAGTCCCAGCAACTTAGTGTGGCTCTCAGCAAATTAGTAAGGCCCTGTTTCAAAATAAAAAAAAAATAAAAAGAAATGGGAATGTAGCTCAGTGGTTAAGTGCTCCTGGGTTCAATCCCCAGTACCCTCCCACCCCCAAAAAAATTAATAATTGAGGAATACATGTAACAATTTTTCTGGGGCAGAAAAGGTCTGATAAATGTTCAAGAAAAATTTTTTTTTTTTTTGTAGTTGAACAGAATACCTTTATTTTATTTATTTATTTTTATGTGGTGCTGAGGATTGAACCCAGCGTGCCTAAGCACGTGCTAGGCGAGTGCTCTACCACTGAGCCACAATCCCAGCCCACGTTTTGTTTTAGAAGCAGCATTTGCAAACTAACTAGAGAACTAGTGACTCACTAGTGGCCCTACAGTAGCAGCTGGCAGGTGATGAGCACTTATCTGCCTGGACGCCATACCCAGAACTCACTTCATCCCTCTGCATTCATGTGCTAAATCATTTCTTTATCTGACAAGAGTGACTTGCTCACAGTCACACCAGGCACAGCTAAGAAAGTGAGAATGTGGCTCTAGGCCCCACAAATACCTGGAAAAGAGAGGTTAGTTTTGTCTGGGGCCCAGTGTGATTTTCCTTGAATTGGCCAAGATATCACAACATGAACCAGAAATAAGAGGATTTCAAAGCCCTCAGGCCTAGCCACACAGAGTGGCCAGAATCTCCAGGTGAACCCCCACCAAAAGGTTTCAAGGAGGTGGAATTCAGGCAAGTTGGCCTTGCAAAGTCTGTCCCTTCCCCCAGGTCTCTCTAGGACAAAAGCTCTATTAAAATGCACATCTGCAGGGGGTTGGCTAGGTGGGGGTGGGGACACAGAAGCAGAGCCACGAGGGTGGGGCAAACCCAAGTCGAGGTGCTGCCCAGAGACCTCCAGACCTCCTGAAAGCCCAGAGTCTGGGAGGGGCAGAAGATGGGATCCTCTGCTGGGATCATCCCTCTCCCCGCACACGGTGGCAGGTGCCTCATTTGCTGGTCTTTGTTGGTCGGGCTTTCCTCCCATTGGGCTTCCCTCTGGGTGCTGGGCTGAGTGAATGAGGCTGATCAATCCACCAGGGCACACATGGAGGCTGCCTTCTTCAGGTCACAGGACGTCCCGGACTCTCCCTCAAGCCCCCCATTGCCACAAGTCCATCAAGCTGGCTGGCCATGGCTGCACAGACCACCCACATTCTCCCAAGATTTCCAGTCGCTCGCCCACCACCAAGACGTGGAGCCCCCCACCCCCCATTGTCTCTCCAAGCTGCTGTGAACCTCACCCTAGGACTCCCAACTCACCACTCAGGATCCTCAGTACAGAGGAGAGATGCTTGGGGTTTTCTCAGTGTTCCAGGGCCAAAGCCACCTTCTGCCAGCCTGGGGAAAGACTCCAGCAAAATGGGACAGGAAGTGAGTTCCCTCCCCAATCCTACTCAGGTGCTGAAGGGGCATCCTCGAGTTAACCCTTAACCTCCCAGTCTGGGAACAAGGTGGGGGGAGGGTGGGGCCAGAGAAACAAAAGTGATGAACCCAGATTCCAAGCCTGCCCTACCCGAGAGACTAACTATTCTCTGAACCGGAACTACCCCTCCAGCCCACTCTAAATCAGGACAGGCCCATACTCCTGGGGGTCTGCCAGTATGCACCTTTCTTTTGGGACAAGAGCAGCAGCTTAAAGTGCCTGCTGTGTGCCGTCTTTCTTGCTAGTATTTTCATGCATGTGATAAAACTGCTATGGGTGTGCTGTGTTCCAAGCACCGAGGACTTAGAACTAAACTTGAGGAAGGAGTCCCTACCCTCGGATATTGCAGTCCAGGGCACAGGGTGGCAGTGATGGTGCCAAAATGGAACAGGAGATGTGTTGGAAAAGAGAGAGAGCTCTCGGTCCACTTAGACCCCTAAAATCCTGCCTAGAAACCCGAGCTCCCCGGGAGGGAAGTGACCTCCTTAACCGCGTTGGAGCCAGCTCCAAAGTCAAGCCCTTTCCGTTGCACTGAAATGTTTTTTGGGGTCCTGTCCTCGGCCGCATCCCGGAGGGTGCTCCTAGCAGAGAATCGGTGTTGCCTCCCGGGCCCCTGGGCACGCCCCACCGCACCGCCTGCCATGGGGAGCGGGAACACCCTCGGTGACCGGGGCTGCTGTCGGTAGGATCAGACCCCACGGTCAGTCGGGACCAGAAATTGCCTCCCTCGACCTCGTCTATCTGGTCTTAAGTTTTCCTGCACGCACCAGCAACGAGCTTATCTTTAACTCTAGCGTCGGCCTCACTGGACCATGCGCTATTGTGGACACTATCTCCTTGCGGCTCTGCGTCCCTCGCGCGCAATCCAGAGCCTACGCACTGGCATTCGCCGGTAATCCTGGAGACTCCGGGGGCTGTGGCAGGAGGATCGGAAGTTTGAGGCCAGCTTCAGAAATTTCTCGAGGCCCTCAGTTATTAACTGGTAATGTAGATCACAGGCAAAGCGTCCCTACTTTCAGTACCCGCCCTCAAAAAGAAAGAAGGAAAGAAAGGTTGAGCAGCCCCGTTAGGCGCCCAGCCCCCAGCTCTCCCACAAACAGCCCCAGGTGTCCAGTGCGCCCCCTGCGGAGCGCCCAGGCACCAGGCCCCTCCTTCCGCAGCCTCGGCTCGCACTCCGCCCCTGAGGCCCGCCCTGGGTGGGGCCAGGAAACCCCGCCTTGTTGGGGCGTGTCTGTAGGCTGGGGCGGGGCCGGGAGCGGGAGCCGGAGCGGTTTCTCCGCAGGTCTGCAGAGCTATGGCGCAGGACCTCTCTGTCCCTCTGTACGCAGAAGGGGAGACGCCGTGCGTCAGTGAGACGGGAGGGAGCTGGAGTTTTTGCGGGGCGGGTGGAATGGGCCTCCCCTCGCTCGTGCTGCTCCCCAATCCGCCCCAGGCTGAACTCGCACAGGCGCGCCCCTGGCTTGACCCGCCCCTCCCCCAAGGCTTTTTGGCATCCTCCCCCATGTGGCCTTGGCCTTTGGGACAGGGCCTTATACCTGGACCCTTGGGGGCTTAGTGAGTTGGCCCAACCGCGGACGCTGCACCAGGACATGATGCCGGCCAACTGAGGCAATCAGGAACCCCCTCTCTCATGAAAAAAACAGGGCCCCTTATGAGTAAGGGAGTAAAATTTTTCAGGGAGACATGAAACAGTTAAAATAGTTCCCAGTCTTATGAGGTTTTACAGACATACCAGAAAATTAGGAGTTCAAAAGTAGACCAGTCTTCAAGGCTACAAAATTAACACACCAGGAGAGGGAGATTGGAAAGTTAGAAATACCCAGAAGCCAGATCCAAGAAAAACCAGATCATTAAACTTAAACCTACTGAGGCACGGTGGTGATTTCTCCTGCTCCAAAACCTAACTAGGAACTTTCCCAGACATTAAGGAGCAAATTCCAGATGTTGAGGGGGAAAACGCATGTGTAGAATATTCCCTAAAGAATCCTGGTCTTTGAAAAGACATCCCCTATCCCAACAAAGTTACCTTTAATTTATTAACATAATAAAATTCCCACCTGGGCTGGGGTTGTAGCTCAGTGCTAGAGTGCTTGCCTTGCATGTGTGAGGCACTGGATTCGATCCTCAGCACCACATAAAAATAATTAAATAAAAATAAATATCCCACCCTAAGATGGAGACTAAGATGGTAATGAGACCTGGTCTCCTGAAGAGGAGTGCAGGGGCAGCTGAAGCTCCACTTCTACATAGGGTGACTTCAAGAGACCAGGATCTTGCCCACTGGATGCCATAAAATCTGTGCACCTTTGTCCTCTTTTTGTGTCAGCCTGTTATTTCTGTCTCCAACTTACTGCCTCCCCTTGAAGAGCCTTGTTCCTCTGCCAATGTGTTCTTCTTCTTCTTCTACTTCTTCTTCTTCTTCTTCCTTCTTCCTTCTTCCTTCTTTCTTCTTCTTCTTCTTCTTTGTGTGGTGTGGGGGTTACTAGGGATTGAAACCAGGGGCACTCCACCACTCAGCCACTTCCCCAGCCTTATTTTGTATTGTATTTAGAGACAGAGTCTCACTTTTGCTGAGGCTGGTTTTGACTTCACATCCTCCTGCCTCAGCTTCCCGTGCTGCTGGGATTGCACGTGTTTGCCACAGTGCCTGGCTATCTGATTCTTCTGATAGCATGAGAACTCCACCAAGTCAGTGATACAAATACTGTAAGATGGTCTCTGGGTAAGGGACTGATCTGGCATCTGGAGTTTACAGCCTGGAAGAGCTGACTGGGAATGCAACCAGAGGGATTAATGTTAGTTGTAAACATGGATTTCCAAAGTCTCTAAATCTGGAATGTCACCTTTCCAGGGAATCTTTCAGAAAAGCCAAAACCAGTTTGGCTCAAAAATAGCCTTAGGCAGAAAGCAAAAGCTTTGCAAGCTTTTGACCTTCTTCCTTCCTAAACCTCCTTGCCCCCAAGGGCTCAGCTGACAGGCTGTTTCTGGCTCTGTGTGCAGGTGCCACTCATTCTTTCAGAAAATATTTGCCTCCTATTACTCGTCCTTTTGAAGGACCAGGGGTGCTATACTAGTGTGTGCTGCCCCCTGAGGTTCACACATCTGGACAAGACCACTACCCAAGTATTCTTTTTTTTTTTTTTTTTTTTTTAAGAGAGAGAGAGAGAGAGAATTTTTTAAATATTTATTTATTTTTTTTTAGTTTTTGGCAGACACAACATCTTTGTTTGTATGTGGTGCTGAGGATCGAACCCAGGCTGCACGCATGCCAGGCGAGTGCGCTACCGCTTGAGCCACATCCACAGCCCCCAAGTATTCTTTTTGACACTTATTTTTTTTAAAATATATATATTTATTTTAGTTGTAAATGGACCTTTATTTTATTTATATATGGTGCTGAGACTCGAACCCAGGGCTTCACACATGCTAGGCAAGTGCTCTACCACTGAGCCACAACCCCAGCCCATTGACACTTATTAACTTAAATTACTTTGCAGAAAAAAAGTCTTAA